GGTGGTTCATCGGCCCGTTTATAGTCCCGGGTATTGGCTTCTCTTCCTCTCATTTTGATGGGAAAATACCACGGGAAAGCAGTGACTAGGGCTATCTTAGTAGAGGCTATTTCACACGCTTGGTAGTATAGGAGCATTTTATAAGGTGCAAGGGAATGGTGATCAGCCTCAACAGGAGACACCCACCCCCGGCCATACTAAGAATTTCAGAGGCCGGGCCACGATGGGTTTGTCACTGTTACTTTTCCTCACAAAGATACAATAAAAAGTATGAGACAATTACAAATGTCTTAAGGGTTGAGTATCCGGTTTTATCTCACATCAGTCGTAACAGTTGCAAACGAAATGAATTAGCGCATTTGTTCATTTGGCGCTTTCACTCAAAAACTAGGATCAGGTTGTTTTAACCATCAATAACTTTCGTGGATTGAATCTAAATATGAATTTTATACATCACCTTCAATTTTCTTTCACCATATCCTTTTGTTTGACCGTAACACGGATCTCCGACATCAGACATTACTGGTATTCAATTTCCCATTTATCTTCCCTATTCCTATTATCCACAAAGCCGTTGCTTGCGCCTATATTCGCTAATCTGCTGCTTCTTTCTGACCTGCATACCGTGATTCCTGTAACCGTTGATTGTACAAACTGAAACTGAACCGTTCGTTGGTGCTTATGTGGCTAAAACGTCGGCTCCCCCTTAGTCACTAGTTTCTTAAAATTTAGCTTTCACCTAACAGCAATGATCTTTTTATCTTTGATACGTTATCTTCCAACATTGATACATTCATTGCAGCATATCCCTGCAAAATTACCGTTTTAAGAGATTTTAATGTCTACAACATGAAATGGTTGATACAGGCCCCAGAGAATTCGATTGAAGGATACGGAGCCCATGGTTTTGCTTTGGTCAACTACCCAGGTTCAGTAATTGACTTGTTCACATACACCTTCGTTCGTATCAGCTTCCCATCCACATCACTGATCTTATTCCCACATCTATTCACTTTCCATCTCTTAGATCATCGGACCACTGACTTATTCCCTATTTTTACTTATTTTTCTCATTTTGTTTCACCACCCAACTCCAGATTCACCTTCTGGTTCCGTCTCAATCGTTTGGGGTGGCTTAGTGTAAAAGAAGACAACGCTTGATTGATAGACTTTAATCAACGAAAAACGAGGCATGGGGGCTAAAATGATACAGGCAAAACGCTAGGACATGCAGGAGAAATAAGAGCGATTTATAGAATAGAGAGACAGTAGGGAGTTCATTACAGGCAGTTTTTGTAACTTTCTGGCATTATATGCCTGAAATGACTGTTGTTACATGTTTGATGTTGACAAAATATTGAAAATCGGTTCTTGTAGCTCGGGTGAACTGATGAAACGTTTGCAAACAAATTGCCAAGCTCGGCGAATAGGCGAAATGGAAACATGTTTGATGTTCCCACCGCTGTTTCGAAATTTAGTGCGATCGATATCATTGCAATTTTGACCGTTGTGCTTTTCGTCAACATTCTGCCTAATTTCAAGGTTATCTGAGCTGGGGACAGTCACTAAGGACTGGAAGGACTGAACTCACCCTGTTAAACGAGAAACAGCACGGTTTGACCAATGACACTAATTGGCTCCTCGACAGCCAAACTACATGTTCGTACTGTTGAAAACTGCAAACATCAGCCAACAAGATAACGATCTTGACTCTCGATTGGTTGGAAGCTATATATTTACCTATGAATACTGAGCTGAACTCGACAGACAGNAGACAGATCAGTAACAGTAGCACTGCTGTGAAATTCAGATTAGGACCGGTTGTGGTGCAATATGATAGGGGCTTTCAGTACACTTTGGTTTCAGAATAAACGACAGAAAGAGAGGGAGATTACAGTGGATTTAGACAGCATAGCAAATTCGATCAGATTGAAACGTGAAGCCAAAAAAGGAATCAAATTGCGTCACGCCTTTAAACGAAGAAGTGAGACAAGGAATTTACATAGCTCATGGAACATGCGTGTTGTACGGGTAATGTAGTCAATCTATGGGGTCTGCGGTTCGATCCCTGACAGCGGTGGGTATTTATGCTCAGAATAAGCAATCGTAAAGTTTTTAAGGAAAATCTACAAAAACAGAATTAATAATCACGACCTTAAAGTTCCATCAAACTTACCAACTAAATGTACAAATTTCAAGACAATGGGCATCTTATGATGCAAGAAATACAGAGGTCTAACTAGCTTTAGGCCTCACTGAGACTCGACGGCGGTAACAATCGGGCCTGATCTCTCACGGGCCATGGAAGTTAGAGTGACTGAACCAAACGCTTTTGGGTGCAGAGGTCAGGAGTCAACTTTCTTATCCACATCGCTTCGGCTATTGCTAGAGTGCACAGTTAAACACCGTAGCATTTGGTGTAAAGGACACGGTAAACATCTTAGTAAGTGACGTCTGGATTTATTTTATGTCCACTCTGGACTAAGTGGCCTAAGTTTAAGCTGTTTATTGATCTGGTCTGTTGTAGTCTTAACCAGCGTGGGGATGCTCTTTGATCCAGGTATATAACTGCCGTGCGTTTGACCAAAATGAGATGCGCCATAAACGCGTTTGACAAAGGCAAGTTGACCGTGGTAAACTCTTACCAGTGATTGGTGTTGTGTCTAACTGTGTGATCTGTTTTATTGTGTTATCTGTATACTCTTTAAATAGCTTGCAAATGAATTACTGAACAACAGGTGTTTATTAAGGATGTGTTCGCTCTAAATGCTGTGTTGGGTATCTTTTAGACTATGAAATTTTAACTGTAGGGCTAACGAGTAGTTAGCGCTGCTCGTAAGTGGTCAAATAAAACTAGGGAGGAGATATTAAATTATCAACAGCGATTAAAAGATCCTCTTGTGAAGACTACACAAGAATTAGGTTAACCAACACTTCTTAAACTTTTCGCTGATATCCAATTTCGTCGATTGTCTGCTGTACTTGAAGGGTGCATGTGTGAGCATCAGGCTAGTTTTCGATCTGGTCGAAGTTGATGAAGATCACGTTTTCACTCTGCCAAATTCTGGAAATAAAACATCATTTCTATCTTTCTCGATCTGAAAGCGGCCCTCGATTCGGTCGACCGCTCTATACTCCGGCACTGTCTTTTCGGAAAGGCCTGCCCGAGAGGCTTATTTCAATATTACTATTTCTTTATACTAANTCCCCCCCCCCCGGTTCACCGCAGGAAGCGATCGCCTTCTATTTCCTTTCATATTTGACTTCGTTACATATTTGATTATGGAAGCACCTCTATCCTCGTGCGAGGATTGCGGTATTGATTTACTCTCATTTTTCAGACTGTCTGATTTTCAGAATGAAACGACATTGTGCTGCTGAGTGAAAATCAAGTGAGGTTGCAAGGTTTTCTGGATAGTTTGAGTGCTAGTGTAGTCATGTTCGGTAATCGTTTTGCACACTGGAAATGTAAAATCTTGCTACAAGACTGGGTTGGTCCAGGCCCCAATTCACCTTGACTGGGGAAGTGTTAGAGGAAGTAGACAAATTTTGCTATTTGCGTAACTATGTTCCAGCTGGCGGACGCATCACGGATAAATTGTCGGCACGCATACAAAAGGCTCAATTACGGTTTGCCAGCTTAAATCGCCTGTGGCACCGTCGCGAAATCCGGCGGTGTGTGAATAGTCAAGTGTGTGTTGCAGCGGTTAGACCGGTTCCGTTTTTATGATGCAGAAAAGAGAAGGCGTTACAAAAACGGGATAACGATAGATTGTCGGTTTTGGAGCACCGTTGTGTTCACTGCAATGCACAAATCTATTGGGAAACCATAAACTCTGTGCTGAAGTTAGGCACAGATTTAGGTGATAGTGATCGCTCACTGGGGAAAATAATCGATCTCCCTAGATTACACCTGTTGAGCATGTTACCAAATGGATTTACACAGTTTACAATGTGGGTGGAAAAATATCAAGGATGATCAATTTAGGACCTGTCATGAAGGTATGAAAGCACTGACCAGGAGACTCGGTCATACAGATCATGTTAGGCTCCCTGTAGGAGGTCTTCCGGGTAATTGTAACCGTCGATCGACGGTTGTGGTGTTCCTTGACGTAACCGGAGCCTTCTACTCAGTTGGCCGCGAAGTTCTTGTGGGTTTATTTAGTCGGGTAGGGATGCCACTCAAGTATGTAAACCTGCTGATGTCACTATACGGACATACTTCGGGTAGCGTACCAGTCTACGGTGAGCTGGTTAAATCATTCGAAAGCAGCAGCTGTGTTCGTTCCCTATTTCCCTATTTCGCCATTTCTGTTCTATTTTGTCGTAGACGAAATGCTGGAGAACGCCCTAAGTGGTATCCAAGGTACGTGTTCTGTGGGCAGCTGGTGAAAAGCTGTGCGAATTAAATTACACTGGGGACATCGTTTGTCTTTTCGAATGCATAGAGGACGCACAAAGTGCATTTGATTTTCTTCGTTCCATTTGCATTTTGTATCTTCAAACTGCAAGGTGACGCTGCAACACTCGTTTTTCCGAGTTCTGTTCTGAAACTGTATGGTCAGAAATGTGCTGATTCCTGTACTTGAGTAGCTGCTTCGTAAATGATGGTAGCGCATCAAAGGAGGTAACTTCCTGCATTTCCAAGGCTCGAGCAGCGTACACCTGTGGCGTAGACTCAACGTTTCATGTGTATATTGTGCTACCGTTCTCACTTACCTTGTATGCATTATGAGTTTGTCATTGATCAGTGAAGTTCGTTTCACTGTATTCCACTGTGCAATGATGATGATAAGCACTTTTAATCTTACTCTTTTCAAAAGCAAAAAACAAGTAACAAATTGTTTCTCACATACCTTTCCCCTTACAATATGTCACTGACTATGAAATATTTCTGTTTCGGTTGTTTCAAACCGGAAAATTTATCTCTCCATCACTTCTGTTCCAGATAATCACCAGCAAAATTATTTTCAATAACACTCATCTAGACGTGCTGCACTTCGTCTTCAACTGGCAGGCCCAGTCGTTGATTTTGTTAGTTAATTCTTACCGGATCATGTGATTGCCAAAATTTTGTTCCCTGTTTCAAGTTCGTTTCTCTGACGGTCGTTCAACTCCTTTTTCTTCATCCAGATGTTGCAATACGTGCAAAGAAGTCCAACAAGCGTACTATGAAAAGAATTGGGTGGTCACAAATATGACCATGTTCCGACAGTGTCAGAAGGAGAACTGGGCTTCCGAAGTGTCCAAACTAGGCAAAGAAGGTTGCCGAATACAGGGTCAGTTGCAGGTGAACAAAGTGGCCGGTTCGTTTCACATATCCCCGGGAAACAGTTACGCCGTGAATCATGTGCATGTACATCATTTACAAAACATTGGAACCAATCAAGTAAGCAGTATGGGTTTCTTTCTTATCCTATCCTCTTATAAAGCTGATTTAATATCTCTGGTTTTTTTGTTGTTATCGCATCTAAAACTTTGCCATTTGATATTATACTTTTGTAGCCGACATGAGCTTGTGATTTCCTTCTGTTGGATTTCAGCCCTCGGATGGTTACTGCTCAGTAACGTTATTTACTTATCTGGAATACGTTCATATTCATTTGATATTTGTCACCGAATTTTATCTCTCCCTCCTCTCGCTCTCTATAGTCCAGCAAGTTTAAAATAAAAATAAGGAAACTTCGCTTCTGATTGCGAAGGTCACGGCTAACAAGCGGCTGTGGTTGCTAACACTGGCGTTCTTTGGGTCCCATGGTCCGGAATTCGACCCTTCCGCCGCCACGCAACCTTGATGGTGTTCCTGCTGTCATCTGGCTCACTACCACACATCCTATTGTTTTCTTGCGTGGTTCGACACCCCAAGTCTAAGAGCGTAGGTTGGCGTTCTCTATTGGCTAGCATTAGGTCCTTTAAATGATTGGTTTTGCCTCTTGTAGTACTGTCCATTACACATTCGTTTGCAACAAAAAAGACTGTGGGTTAAGTCAAACAAGGACTGTATGTTAATATTCTTACTGTCATTTCGACGGAAAGACAATAAGAAAACCTTCCCTAACATATATGATAATCTTAAACCGCTAGGCTGCACTTCAAGTCAAGTCAAGTATTTGTTTTATAAATCCCGATTGGTGAGTATTCAGCAGCCACTTAGTCAACCAACAATGATCAAGCAGAACTACACCAGAGATATGGTAAGCAAGGACAAAACAAAACAATTTACCATATGAGTGAGTTCAGTTCAGAGGCGATGTGTTCTGGGTTAACAGAAAATC